GTCTGAAATGTTCCTTTAAACCACATGTGTCAAACTAAAGGCCTGTCTACAAAACTACATAAAATTAGAAGATTGGGGCGACTGTGGCTGAGCGGTTAAAGGGCCAATATGTGTTTCTCAGCCATACATTTAAATACTATACATTAATAAAGTATCTATGTCACCTTTAGTTGTTATTAAAATGCTGTTTTTATGTTTAAATAGAAAATAAACTTATCTTCTCATCACTTCCTCTTCTAAATGCCTTGAAATTGGCCTCTGTCTCTTTAAGAACCATTCCGCATGAGGAAGCTCGGCTTAAAGACACGTCCCAGGGGCGTTTCTGGTCCCAAAAGGCGTTTCTGGTCCCCACCTGTCATTTTGCTCCTCAGCATGGCTTCCATGAGTCAAAGCAAGGCTTTGGGCATGTTTTTTTATGAGAGTATAACATTATAACATGATATAAAACTCAAAAAAGTTGATTTTACAAGATATTGCCCCTTTAAAACCATACAATTGCAAATTACATACTTTTAGGCTTGAGTGGTACAAGACTGGAGCAACAGGGAGGAATGACTGCAAAGCTATGATGGTGAAGTAGACCARGGGTTCCCAAACTTCTGCCCACCAAACAGCATTAGCTTCTAGCTGTCCCACCCGCAAACCCACAAACAACGCTACACAATATGTAAAGAAACATCCATGTTTTGATTTTTTTTTCACTTTTACTCACTATTAAATAATTATTACGGTACATTTGTGTAACATAAGATTTGTATTATTTAACATGTTTTAAATTCTTACAGAAAAAAACAACTTGTCAACAAACTGTTGATGATAAAAACAGAAAAAAATGTAACCTCGCTCAAACTCCATTAAATAACATTTCAATATATTATTAAAAATTTTATTTTAAAATAAGGATTGAAGAACAGATTTGATGTTGTGAGAATTAATAAAAAACGKTTTTTTAGGTTTATTTGTTTTATTTTTGCATTTTTTTTTATTCGTCATCTGTCTGAGGCACCTCTGGCTGCTCCCCCAGGGGACCCTGGCCCCCCACTTTGAAAAACACTGTATTAGACAAAACCAATATAGCAGACAGTTGTGGGCCAGATCTGGTGCCAAGCTGGACCCGTTGGCATGGCAAGTGGTTTGTCAACTGGATGTGGGCCAGGGCAGGATAATTATGGCACTGTTTCCAAGATGGGATGCCATAACTGGCCCAGTTGTGRTTTGGTTTATGTGGTGCTTGCCAATGCATGGACCACCTCTCGCAAATCACATCTGTGCCACCCAAAGGGCCTGAAGTTAGTATTTAGTGTGTGGGCCAGAACTGGGCCAGACAAACTTTGCCATGYGGGAATACAGACCTGAGCAGGAGCAGCTTTGCCTGGAGAAGMTGTCCAGTCGAGAGCAGGGTGCTGCTCCCCTCACCAGCTCTTTCCTACTTTCATCTAAAAGTGGTGAACAGCAGAGCCGAGGTCATAAACAGCAAAGCTGTCTCACACACACAGATCTGACTTCTCTCCACACTCTGCCTCCACTCCAGGGGCCTCATGTATCAACGGTGCGTACGCACAAAAACATTGCATACGTCATTATACACGCAAAACTCTGGATGTATCAAAACTGAACGTGGAAATGTGCACAGCCCCACGCCAACTCCAGGGCTGGTGTACGCACGTTTCTGTGGCTTTGGTTCCATTAGCGACACTTAGAGG